GTTTAACCATGTGTTCTGGAGTCTTTAGCCCCATACATTCTTAATCACTGTTCCCCGCTCTACTCCCTTCGTCTGCTCGCCACTTACCAGAAGTGAGAGTGAGTTTCTGCACTTGAATGTTGGGAGCAGAGCCTAATCTCCTCAGTCCTGCATTTCAGCAGGAACCGCCCATCAAAGAGGTCGTATGGACTCCCACCTGGCCAGGAAGCCTCGGCATCAGGCTGTCCACATTGTGCATTTGATAAGTCCTGCCCAGTGGGAAGCCTTTTCAATGCATAGAAGCTATGGTGAGGTCAAGGCCATGCATATCAATGATAATAAATATTGATCATTCTATGCTTCAAATGGTCCTTGGCTCTTTGATTATAACATCTCGTTTAATTTTCACTGGCAGTGTTTTTATTGTTTTGTTTTGTTTGAGACAGAGTCTCGCTCTCTCACCCAAGCTGGAATGCAGTGGCGTGATCTTGGCTCACTGCAACCTCCTCCTGGGTTCAAGGAATTCTCCTGTCTCAGCCTCCCGAGTGGCTGGGATTACAGGCGCAGGCCACCACACCCGGCTAATTTTTGTATTTTTAGTAGAGATGGGGTTTTACCATACTGGTCAGGCTGGTCTTGAACTCCTGACCTCAGGTGATCCACCCACCTTGGCCTCCTAAAGTGCTGGGATTACAGGTGTGAGCCATAGCACCCAGTGCAGTGATGGTAGTAATATACTCACTTGCACATGAGAAGATGAAGTCTCTGTTTATCGAGCAAAGCATGGATTAAAGCCCAAGAATGTTTGCATTGAACTCTTGTGCCCTTTCTCCTAAACCATCCAGCCTCTCAGCCCTGCATCGCCTGCTGAGATGGGCCTCAGGAGATCCTTCTCCATGTATCTCTCCTAGCAAGGAAATATTTTCTGAACGAGTTGTGAACCACATGTTTCCTAAAAATGTGGCCAATGTGGACCTGGACACAGGCTAGGTTGGCTGAGAAGCGTATTACCCAAATGGTGGTTGTGACTGTCATGAGGCGGAAGAATAGTGTGAGGCACAGTTCTGCTACATGCCTAAAAGGAGCAAAGGGAAATTAATATTGTGCTTGAAACTAAGAGCCAGTGATCAGCCTAACCCAAGACAGAGAAGGAAATAGCAACACTTTATGCTGGACTTAGAAATGCAGAGTAGGTGCACAGAGGGCTTCAAGGAACCTGATCCTTGGCTTCCTTTGTCTTCTGTTTCAGATAAAGGAAAGTTATTATTTCGGACCCTTATTTCTGTTACCAGAAATGTGTGTGTTGATAAAATCATTTATTTTCCCTTAGCTATGGCACGATACAGGAATAGGGTGTGTATATGTGTGTGTGTGTGTGTGTGAGAGAGAGAGAGAGAGAGACAGACAGACAGAGAGAGAGAGACAGAGAGACAGAGTAAGTGAGCAAGCTGACTTTGGAGTCAGGAAACCTGAGGCTCAGCCTCACCTGTGGGGCACCTACCTAACCTCTCTGGCCCAAGTTTCCATTTTTAGAAAGGATCCTTTTAGCCCTAATGTTCTTTATTCTACTGAGCTGCTGCCAGGGAATTGTCTACCTCTGATCCGCTTCTTTTCTAGAGTCCACCTTATCCAAAGGTTAGAACTTCCTCCATGGAGCTGCCCAATTCTCCAGCTGCCAGAGTAGCACCTTCCTGGTGCTGTCCAGGGCAGGGACAGGCAAGTGGCCTTAGGGAGGCACAGGCCAATTTCTCACATAGTCTAATAACCTGGCCCATCCTGAAGCTCTCCCCACCAATTACCACCTATCCCCTAAGAAAACATCAGTGGCTTCCACCTGCCCAACCATATCTCGCCTGGGCGGACACTCCCCCATCAGGGGAGTGAAGGGCTTAGGAGACGGGGCACGTGGAGGAAGAGGGTCAATACAGAAGAGTTTTCTGTTTTCTGGATGCAAGGAACAATATATCACCCAGAACATCATTATCTCTTGAATTATTATACTGCCGGGACTTTTTTTCCTATTAAAATCTATCAGAACAGCCAGATGCGGTGGCTGCACTTTGGGAGGCCAAGGCTGGGTTGGTGGATCACTTGAGGCCAGGAGTTAGATACCAGCCTGGTCAACATGGTGAAACCCCATCTCTACTACAAATGCAAAAATTAGCCGGATGTGGTGGCAGGCACCTGTAATCCCTGCTACTCGAGAGGGAGGCTGAGGCAGGAGGATCACTTGAACCCAGAGGCAGAGGTTGCAGTGAGCCGAGATCACACCACTGCAACCCAGCCTGGGTGACAGAGTGAAACTCTGTCTCAAAAAAAGAAAAACATATCAGATCATAACCCAGAGTCTGTTTGAGCATGCCAGCGGACCACTGTGGGTCAATTTCTTCCTATTCAAAAAAGTCCAAAGACCTCAGTAAAGGATTGCTTTGCCAACATTTTATTTGATGATATAAACTTTTCTACAAATGTCTATGCATTTGTGTACTCATTTATTCCTTCATTCAACAAATATTTATTGAGCTACCTATTATGTGTGAGTTCCTGTATTAATCTGAGAATTCAGCAAGTAACAAAACAGAGCCCTCATCCACATGGAAATAACATTCTAATAAGGGATGACAAACAATAAATAAAAAAGAAGACGCCCATTACAGGATTTGTGGCAACTTAGAGATAAAGTATCATAGACCCCAAAGGACCCCCTAGACACCAGTGATGGGGAGGAAGAAGGAAAAGTTTTTTCTAGTAAAGGCTAAAAAAACACCTCAGCTAGAATATCTCTTATTATTTCATATGTGTGTAATTGCGGATTTTTTTTTTTTTTTTAACAAATACAAACGCAACAGCCAAATCTTATTTTCCTCATCAGAAAAAAAAGCTTTCAGCTTCCCTGGAAGCATGAAGGAAGAGCTGCAGCTTCCAGCCACAGGACAGCCAGGCATCTGCCCAGCCTGGCACAGCATGCCTGGACCTCGAACGGGTTAAGGTGGCAGCGCCTGAGCTCAGAGCGCTGCATAAACAGTGCGCGTCAGGCGTTCTAAGCAAGCTTCATCTTTCTTGTCTCCCAGTCTTGGGCTGTCAATCAGCTGTCACCAGCCAGCACATCAGCAGCGTGTGCACATCACCAGGCTGTCAGCAAGGCAGCTGATGAGACTCGGCTCAAGACCGTCAATCATCTTTGTTTCTCTTCTCCACTCGGGAAATATTTTGGCTCGGAGAAACAAAGAAACCTGGGCAACAATGGCTGGTAGTCAGGCATTTACTCCTGTACATGGAGATAAGATCTTAAACAGGCGATGATCGTGATTCACTCCCAAATGATGCTGGGGTGGGATGGACAGAGGGAAGAGCCAGAATCTGTTGTATTAGGACATATTTTAAAACTGTAATTCTAGTTCCCTGAGCAGTCCCTGATGGATTTCTGAACCAACAAAGCACAAGAACATAAAATAATGATAACTTGAAGTTATCTGAGCTTATGCCTCAGAAAAAAACAAGGTGGCTCAGAGGATGGATGACTGCTTGGTTAGAAATTATACGCCATTGATCAGGCAGCTTTTTGAGGAGGGAGTAATTGTTGGACTGCTGAGTTCATTTATCTCCCAGGGACTTCTGAAACACCTCTTTAGGGCATGAGGCTGCTTGGGGGCACCCACACATTGGAGAGCAAGTTAGCTCAGCAGGACCCCTTGAAGTAGGCTTATCAGTGCTTGCACCCAGAGTCACTTTGTTGAATATAAAGGTCCTCTAAACAGCCCATTTTCTGATATACTGCCTGCCCCTCCTCTCGCCCAAAATATTGATTAGAAATGTCCCACATACTTAAAAGTCCATGAGACACAAATATAAAGAGATGCGCCTGGCAACCAGTTTCAGTTGGGCAGAAAGTCCACTCCAGGCTGCTCCTCCCCTATTTAACACTATTGCAAAATCACCATGTACATATATTAGCATAATTAATCAGTTAATTATGCAACTGATGCTACTAGTATAGCTGTTAATAGTATGCAAATGGCACCAAGTTGCCTAAAGCCTCCCCGAGTTTTTTTTTAATTGTTGTTCCACAGTGGCTTTGAAATAGATTAGCAACAATCAGAGCTTTCAATCACACATATCAAGAACCCTATTACCTGTCAATTTTTCAAATGTTCTGGATTGACTCATTCATACCATGACTGGTTCATCATACCACGTCTGGTTCCCTCATCATTTCAGTGTTTGTGACAGTGGCAATGTTTTTCCTCTGATGGGTCCTTTCCTACGTGCAACACTGATTTCTGAAAACGCATCTCTCTCTGATCTAACTGGACATTAATTGCTTTTGTGCTGATGCATCTATGCCTCCTGGTCTCATAGCACAAAGTAGCAAATCTGATCTCTGACAAGTTGGCTGAACCTAATCAGGACAGATCAGCTGTTACCCAAGGTGCCACAGGCTGTAATTTGAGGATCTTTACAGAGTTATCACTAGCCTGAAAGACAAGGAACTATAATTCTGTCAGCACTAATCCCAAACTGTATGTTCAAAGCAACTGTGGCCTCCCCGCACCCCAAAAAAAGATAGCACTTGTCAAATAAATACCTGAGATAATTGATAAGAGGGAATTAGAAGGATGTGGCTGATACAGTGACAGTGGGAATTTTTTTTTTTTAAGAACCTTCAGAAGCAGAACATTGGATGTCAAGTGTGAACCGTCAAGGATAAAAGAGGGTGGCAGAGAAGAGATGCATGGAAATTTTCCATCATTCTGCTCCCACTCGTCACTGGGTGACTTGGTTCATATTTGCCTTGCTCTCTAAACAGGCAAATACCCAGACATTCTAAGCCTCGAAGGAAATCTCTCAGAGCCAACTCGGGCTGCCACCCAGTGACAATGACTTGATAGGCAGCAAGAACATCATCAGGAGTGGAGGTATTATTGTCAGGCTGTCAGCTCTGTGCTATTCTCTGAAGACCCCTGTGGTTTTCTTACAGGCACAAAAAGAGGAAATATTAGAAAAATAAACTTCTTTCTTACTGTATCGCTTTGGTCCATCTTCCAAACAAAATGAAAGGGTTAATGTGGCATCATCTTCAAAAAATTCAGTGGCAAAGGCGTCCCACCAGAGGTTGTCGCTGTCCTGCAAAGAGACAGATCATTTATTTAACAGGGGAAAGTGGAAAATATCTCAAAGAGGAAAAGAAAACGGAAGAGAAAGAAAAATTCAGTTGCTGCTTGCTCGTTACTTCGTGTATATGTGTGGGTGTTCTAGGAAAGGGTAGGTGGGTGGTCACTCTTCAAATTAATTGCCTCAATTGGGAACCAAGTTTCAATTCAATAAGTGAGCTCAAACCTACCGAATAAAAATTAATTCTCCAGTATATATTTGGGGAGATTTAATAAATGTGCCACAAAACACAATGTGATGTTTTTTGACAAAAGGGTTTGCATTTAATGTAAAATACACATGACTTTTTTTTTCTCTTTCTCTCTCTGCTCTTTTAAGAGTTCATTTTTATAAATAGAAACCACAATATTACAACCAGGTTAAACATCATTTTCAAACATAATTTAATCAAAAGAGATGTTCCCAGCTCTATTGTTTGCAAATATCCCTATAAAAGATAGAGGTATGGATACATGGATGGATAGATTGATAGAGAAGTTCACGCACAAGAGATTCTCAAATATATATGGACTGTTCTTGATTGTTTTAAGAGGATAGGCAACCACTAGCTTGTTGTTAAAGAGTATTAAAAATAGAGCAGTTCAGCAGAATGCAGGCCATCCATATGAATTCTGTTTGTTTGTCTTGGGTTGAATGTTTCTCCTGCTCATGCAGAAAACACTTTGGAAGTGGCCCAGTTTAAGGCAGTTAGAAGACGGCCCCCTCTCACAGTGATTTAAGAAGGTTATACACAGTGTCATATTTACAGGAGGAATCACATCCCAGCCTAATTCTCGGTATAGGACTTGATTTATCCCAAAATTCTTAAGCACCATGTTTTTTCTAGAGAATTGTTAGTTGAAGACAAGATGCATCCCAGCTGCCTGTCAGATGGAAGAGGAGACAGAAAGGGAATTGCCACTCCCCATGTAATAGTCCCACTGCCGGGTCCTGGCAGAGATACCACAAGCCTCTCTTCTTCCCATTAAGTTGTTCTGCTTATGACAACATTAAGTTGTTGTCACTGGCAGGCCTCAGGAATGAACCCTCAGTCCCAGCAAGAATAATTAAGGAGCAACAGAAGATTGATGCCGTCCTCTCCTTCAGAAAAGAAGCAGCTCAGACAAATGGATTTTTGTGTCTCTCTTTGGCTTCCTTCCAATCACCATAGCAAAAGCCAATCCTTTCCTCAGTAACACAGGGTAGATAGGAAACCACCGAACAGTAATGCATGGATCCACGTACAAACTGGTCTGCTTTGTCTCCTTTCAGAAACAAATATGTATTGGGCATTTAACTACGTGTAGGCCTTCAGAATGCACAGCTGAATAAGAGACTGGTCCCTACCCTCAAAGGGCTTAAAACCCACTAGCAGAAGACAATCACATGAGCAACTAAACAGGCAGCTTCGCTCCACATCTGAGACCATGGCACACGTCCTCAACGCTCTGGAAGCTTGCGGAGCTTTTAGAAAACTCAGTGGGCCTGGAAGTGGAGGAATCTGCCAGGGAAAGAAACCCTATTCAGAAGACTGGATACATTTGTTTATTTGACTTTAAATCACTACACAGATGGAAAAAGAGTCACAGTTAACATTTATTGAGTGTTTACCACATGCCAAGCACTAGTCTAACGACTTTATGTGTATTTTCCTACTTAATCCACACTACGAATCCATTTCTTCTGTGTGTGTGGTTTTTTTCTCTTCAATACAAATATAAGCTTCTTGTACACAGGGGCTTTGTTTTGCTTGCTACTTTATCTCCCAACCCCCAGAACAGTGTCTAGCCCAGGATATTACTCATAAAAGCAGCTCAGTGAATGAATGAAGCTGCTTTGCAACTCTACTTTGCAACTGCAGAAACCAAAGCTTAGGCAGTAAATGTCACCTGCTCCAGTTCACTCCGCGAATAAATGTCAGCGATGGAATTTAAACTCAGACCACTGGACACCCCTGACCTACCCATCCTCTGCTCTGTACAGCAACCTTGCTACACTTCCCTGACAGTCTTTGAGAGGCAGGGGTTAGAGTTCAGCAAGAGGGGAGAAAGAGTTGAAAGGGAATATTTAGTGTCAGGTTGGTTTCTACTATGAGCTCCTTGCCTTGTTGTGCAGACCTGTAGCCAGGACTCACGCTCAGGAGACTGCCTGGTGCTTTACAGTAAAGCCATTGGTAATACATCATGGCGGAATTCAGTCCTGCAGGCAACACTGCCTCTTCCCAGCTATTGAACCTAGCAACTTATTCTACCTTCCCCAGCCTGTCTACTTATTTAGAAGCTGACAATAACAATAACAACAACAATAGTAACTATCTGGCAGCACAGATCTGAGGATTAAATAAATAAGTATGTATAAAGTGCTCCCCAAAGGGAGTGAAAATGAATAAAATCTTCAAGAGATAAAATCTGCAGGAGAGCACCCCAAGGACAGTGAAGATCAATAAAATGCCCTTTCCCTGCCTCTGCCTACCATCTTTAATATTATATCTAGGGCAGGAGGCATTCCACTTTATAAAGAACTGCATTGAAAATGAACTTTATGGCCAGACGTGGTGGCTCGCGCCTGTAATCCCAGCACTTTGGGAGGCGTAGGCGGGTGGATCACCTGAGGGTCAGGAGTTTGAGACCAGCCTGACCAACATGGTGAAACCCCCATCTCTGCTAAAAATACAAAAATTATCCGGCCGGGAGTGGTGGTGGGCGCCTGTAATCCCAGTTACACAGGAGACTGAGGCAAGAGAATAACTTGAACCTGGGAGGCAGAGGTAGCAGTGAGCCGAGATCACCCCACTGCACTCCCACCTGGGTGACAGAGTGAGACTTGGTCTCAAAAAAAAAAAAATGAACTTTTTAAAATAGTCTGTTTATAAATCAGCACTTTTCCCTATCACTTCAACCATTAGCAACCCATTTCCCTGGCAACAGCATCTGTCCACAACACAGTTAAAAATCTGAATGAAAATGTATTACTTCTCATTTGCTTTGCTCATTATTCAGAGGCCCAATGACTGGATCCCCTCTGTATTAATTCATTCTTACACTGCTATGAAGATATACCCAAGACTGGGTAATTTATAAAGGAAAGAGGCTTAATTGCCTCACAGTTCAGCATGGCTGGGGAGGCCTCGGGAAATTTACAATCATGGTGGAAGGGGAGGAGAAGAATGAGTGCCCAGTGAAGGGGGAAGCCCCTTATAAAACCATCAGATCTCATGAGAGCTAACTCACTATCACGAGAACAAGATAAGGGAAACCATCCCTGTGATTCAGTTATCTCCACCTTGTCACTCCCATGACACATGGGGATTATGGGGACTATAACTCAAGATGAGATTTGGGTGGGGACACAGCCAAAACATATCACCCTCTATTTTCTGATAATCTAACTCTTGGTCTCTGACACTGCTGCTGAAAAATGAACCAGTGAAAGGCAAAAGTCAAGAGAAATGCTGGCTGATCTGAGGTCACTGGGAGAAAAGAAAGTACTCAAGTTACAATGAGGTTCGAGGAACGTCTATGAGCAGTGTTACAGGTTCCAAAGGGCCTAGATAGGTACGTGAGTTTTGGCAGAAGTTGAAAGAGACATAATGATCCAAGAATGAGAAATGTCATACGATTCAAACTAGTTTCAGTGGAACACGGGATAAGGCAACTTCTCAGGAAATTTCAGAAGAGGTTAGCTGGGAGAATGGGCACATTAGGTAACCACACACACACACACACACACAAAATAATTGGTTTCGGTCACAAATCTTGAAAGAACATCCTTGAAATAAAAATGTAACATTTAAATTCACAGGGCCAGGCATATACTAGGTAGATAAAATAATATTTTTGTTTGGCTGATAGAACACATTAATAGATAGATGGATGGATGAAATTTCTTATTGTGGCATCACAAACTCAGCTCAGGAAAATCACTCTACAAAGTTGTCCAGAGATCTTGATTGTGGACCCTACTTTGTCTGTTGGTCAATAATTTTAAACTGGCATAAAAATGACATTCTGTGTATTTAAACTATAATTTTCAATCTCCCCCCACGTGCAAACACATGCAAACACACACACACACACACATACACACACACAGCTTTTGAATTAGTCTTTAGTTATGACAGAACAAATATTTATTTAGGAAAGGAATAAAAGGAGTAGAGATTTAAGACAAAAATTACTAAGTGTTGGGGATAGGCCATTCTTGTGTTGGCTGTATATGAAGGAAGCTTATTACGGAAAGAGCACATCGTTGGGGGCCCTGGGTTAACGTTAGTATCGTAATCCAGAATTTTCTAAGTACTGTAGATGTATTGAACCATTTTATATTCATAACTACCCTAATTGCTACCAAGGGGCAGAGCAGACAGCCTTATAGAGAACTTATGTCCTTGACTTCTATGTTATACTGACTTACACAGGTGAATTCTGCCTCTTAATAGCTGGATGACCTCAGTCAACTCACCTAATTTCTTTGCGTCTGTTTGCTTGTTGGGTAAGTGAGAATAATAATCTCAGTGGGCTGTGAGGACTTAAGAGAAACTGCCTGGCATATAGTAGTTGTTCAATATGTGTCAACTATTATCATTCATCGTTATCTCATTTAACCCTTAAGATATTCATAGAGAATCTAAAATTCAAAAAGGCAAGCTACTCAATAAAGGTCAGAAAGCAAGAAAGTGATGAAGCTAAAGTTCACGTAACAAGTCTGCCTAACTCCAATACACGCTTTTTTATAAATAATTCTACTTAAAAAGTTATTTCCCACTTTAGGTTGAAGACCAAAAATGGTTTACAAGAGTTAGAGTAAGAGGTCAGCATTGACGAGAGGAAATTTCCTCCTCCAACCTTTCAAAGTTCATGCCCTTTTTCCCACCTTCACATGGTGTTCCTAATAATAAATCTCCTTTTGGAACACTTCTTGCTTCCATTCTCTTTTCTGGTATAGTTCCTGAGATCAGTTAGGCAATTTTGTAG